ACTCACATAGGAAGCAGGACACTGGATGGAGGGAGAGCTCCTTTACAAGCCAAGTCTCAGGCACTGATTGGCTCAAACAGCAGAAGAAACACAGGAGAATGAACTTCCTTTGAACTGTTCTCCCTTCTGAGAGAGCTGTTCTGCTCCCTGCATCATCTGAGCATATAAATTTTTATTTAAATGAAATAAATGCTTATGCACAAATGCAGCAAGAAGGAGGTTTACTCAGTACAGGAAATTGGTATGCATCACTTTTAAAGTGAATACTTCTCATCGTTTCGAGATTCCCCACCCTAGCTCATCTTCCATAGGCACCTTCACTGAAAAGTTATAAGTTGGGTGGAAGATACCTTTGAGATAAGCAAGTCTGGTCTCTCTTCACAATTTTCAGAGGATGAAGCTGAGGCATAAAAAACGTTGATGGATATTGGTAAGAAAAGTTCTGGTTAGTGGTGGAATTCTTAGCCCAGTTCTTTACCCAAAGCCCTGTTACTTCATGCTCTAAACTACATAATAGTACTTTAAAATATATTTCACCATCTCTTTCCCACTTTTAGGTCAACAGAGATTATTAACTAATTTTTAAATGTTTCAAAGTGAAATTTTAGCTTTAGGAAACTTGGAAGTTCAAGTATCTCTTTTGGAGTTGTTGGGTTTTTGTGTTTGTTTTTGCTCATGATGAGTAGGCTTTTCCCTAAAAAAGGAATAGTTTGTGGAAGACTCAGACCTATGCTTTTAGAAAAGTGCTCTAAAATAAATGGTGGCATAGAGGTTGATGCTGGAGTCTCAGACCTGCTTCAAATTCAAGCTATGTGCACTTGCTAATCATGTGATCCTGGGCAAGTTCCTTAACCTCTAGGAACCTCTGTTTCCTCACCCATAAAGTCCTGATAGTGATGACACATTGTCAAAGGTTTGTTGTGATGATTTAAGTATGGCAGATTGCTGTTCAAGGCATAAGTGTAAACATGTGTAAAACAATGAGACACACTGAAAATGAACGTAATAATTTAACAAGTCATTTTGGAGAGGCTATTCTAGCATTTTGGATAGTGTGGTAGAGAAATTTAGACACATAGGAGTTAATAGATATTATGTAAAATCTAAAATGTCCATTAGTTAAATTATTAAGAAAGGCTAGTTTATGAAAATTAAAGAGCCTTTCCCCCTTTCTATTGATTTCTCATAGTTTTTTAACTCATTAAAAGTATCTTGTGATTTAAACTATGGGATTTAAGTTCAGAAAGCACTTTTTTAAATTCAGAACTTTATCGACCATAGACACAGACAATAGTAGACAGTTGTTTTCTTATTTCAGCTTCATAGCTATAGTTCAGAACTAATTTGGAGGATACTTCAGGAAATCACCTTGTGATTTGGTAAAATCAAGGCTTCTTCAAAAGATTTGTTTTGTTTTTGCCAAAACTGAATTAATTTAATCCTGACACATGAATTTTTGTCTTCTTTTTATTTTTAATTGTGGTAAAATATAAATTTATTGTCAACCATTTGAAGTATATAGTTCAGTGATATTAAATCCATTCACATTGCTGTGCTTTCATCTTGTAGAAATGAAATTCTATGCCCATTAGACAAACAAACAAAAACCTCCCCATTCTCTCCTGCTCCTGTCTTTAGAAACCACCATCATATTCTCTGTCTTAGTGAGTTTGACTACTCCAGGCACCTCACAGAAGTGATCTAACCTTTTGTGACTTGCTTATTTCATTTAGAATAATGTTTTCAAGGTTCACATGTGTCAAAATTTTCTGCCTTTTTATGGCTGTATAATAGCATTCCATCATAAACATATACCATGCTTTCTTTGTCTGTTGATAGAAACATGGGTGGTTTCACCTTTTGACTAATGTGAATAACGCTGCTGTGAATATAAAGATATAACTATCTATTTGAGATTCTTCTTTGAATTTTGGGGGAATATGTCCATTAGTGGATTTGCTGAACCATATAGTAATTCAATGTTTAATTTTTTTGAGGTACTATCATTTTATTTTCTATAATGGCTACATCATTTTACAATCCCACCAATAGTGAGGCTTCTAATTTTTCCACATCCTTGTCAACATTTATATCTTTCTGGTGAAGCATATTTTTATATACTTGCTGGATAATACCTTAATTTTGATCAGATTTTCCTCTTAATGCTTCAACTTGAAACCAAATAACACTTATTACAATATATTATATTGATGACAATCAGAGAAATGTGAACTTTTATGCACAACTATATATACACAACTATACCATAATACAATTTTGTAAAATGCAATATGTAAACTGGGTGTGGTGACACACACCTATAATCCAAAGGCTCAGGAGGATTGTAAATTTGAAGCCAGTAACTCAACATCTTAGTAAGGCCCCAAGCAATTTAGCGAGACTCTGTCTCAAAGTAAAAAATAAAAAGGGCTGGGGATGTGGCTCAATGGTTAAATGCCCCTGGGTTCAATATCTAGTTACCCTCCCTCAGAAAAAAGCAATGTATACTTTATCTTTTTAAATGAATATTTCAGTTCTGTATTTTTGATGTTTTAGAATACAAAGTCCTCTTTAAAAAAATCACTAACTCCTATGTGGTAGTACTTACATATACTTTTATTAATTACAGATTGAGAGAACATAGGAAAACTGTAACTTGTGGCTTCAGTTATTTGTCTTACTGGTCAGCTTAATTAACTCTCAGTGTTGCAGTAAACAAACCTGAAACCTATTCTACTTGACCCAAATTGTTACTTTCTCACTCATATGGAGATAGTATGGGTCAGGTGATCTCAGAAGACAAGGACTTCAAGGTCATTGCAAGAGCGGAAATGAGAAATGGAGTAGGTGCTGAGTATACTTAACTGTATTGACCTTGAAGTGATCCATGTCACTTCTTTATTTCAATAACTTTTATGTGGGATTTAAAATTATTATTTACTAGGAACTCTTTTTTTTTGTATTGCAAAACAAATTAAGTTTGCCACATTGATTTTAAATTTTCTGAGTTGTTTTTGACTAATTGATCATGTCTTAAATTGTTTTTATTTAAAGAGATGTTCATAATCCATGATCCATCCATTGGCCTGCCTAGAAATAGGACGCTAATCAATCTGTAGTGGAGGCTGAGAGATGTAAGAGTATATAATTTGGGGGCCCTGATTCTGTAAGACATGTATAAATGAATTCATACTACTTATTTATATATTTGCAGTGCTGGAGATTGAACCCAGTGTTTCATGCATGCTGGGCAAATGCACTACTTCCCCAGCCCTAAACCTTTGCTATATAAAACAATAATGTTTAGATATATTTTTAAAATTGCAATAAATATCTGTGTGATTTATTTAGTCTTCAAAACTTTTACACAAGAATTCATACACCTCTTGCAATAACTCTTTGCAAATCGAGCTTTTGCAGATGTGTTCACAGTGTCCATCATTAATCAAATTGTACTGTAATTTTAACTAGCAGAAAATTCATAGCATAAAACTCAAGACCATTCAGTTTCTAGAGAAGACTATCACTCAATTCAGCAGATGAATGTATTTGTTTTTTTTTAAATCTCCAGGGAACATTATTAGTAATATTTTCTTCTATAGTGACTCACTGAAGATCTTTATTTCAATGACTTTGATGTGGGATTTAATATTATTCCTTTCTAGGCACTCTTTTTTTTTCCTATTGTGTAACAAATGAAGTTTGCCGCATTGATTTTAAATTTTCTGAGTTGGCATAGTTGTTTTGACTAATCAATCATATCTTAAATTGTTTTTACTCAAAGAGATGTTCATAAACTCTTATGTATAAAATTTAAGATTTAGTTGAAAAACACATGGCACATTAATCATACTTTCCATAAATACTTGATAGGTTTGTGTATCCTTAATAATTATATAAAGACTGTGCCTACATTATACCAAATACTTAATTAAAAAGCACTAAGTCTATGAAGTTAGTTATTTTGCATTAAATATCTAGGCAAAGGAAAAAAAAACATTGCTCAAAAGACTCCAACTCATAAAAACTACCAAATCCCATCAAAGCACATCTTATATTGGAACACAGTGACAGCACATGACAGTGTTGCCTCATGCTTTATTACAATGGCTAATTTTAGCCCCCTAACATAGTTTCTGGTGGCCTTCTCTAACACATTTGAGAAAAATAGATATTAGTTTCCACCTTGCTGTGAACTGACTCAAGAAGCCTTGATTTATTTTTCAAAAACAGAGCCAATATTCAGTTACTTTCAAAATACATTTTGACAATAACTGGAATTTATTTGATATTTTATTTCCACAATAAGTAACATTGAAATCATCTTGCATGATCAGGTGTTCTTATGCATTTTGAATAGACTTAAAAATTACATTTAATCTTTGATTAATACTAGATAGAGTTTTTATAAGGTGATAATCCAGAATTATGGTTTGTGAGTCACTTGGTTTCTTGCATTAAAACTGGAAAGTGAATATCTGCAATGGATGAGATGTGTGTCCGGATGGTCACAGGAAATTATAGAAGTAAAGTAGTCCAGAAGATTCTCTGACACAAAGAATAGACATTTCCTCTGTAAAACTGGGGGAAACAAATTTAATAAAGTTACGGTTTTGGCCAAATGTAAGTGGATGAAGGGAAGAATTGGGTTTTATTGTGTGTGTGTGTGTGTGTGTGTGTGTGTGTGTGTGTGTGTTTGTGGTAGCAATTAGGATATGAAAACTCTGTAGTTCTTACAAACTATTTTCAAAAGGCTTTTCTTAGCCAAAACCACATATTTTCATTTTTGGTAGATTTGGTTTCCTTTTGTTTTTGTTTTCAGTGCTGGGATTGATCCAGGGGCACTCAACTACATCCCCAGACTTGATTGATTGATTGATTGATTGTGACAGGGCTTGGCTAAGTTTCTGGAACTGGTCTTGAATTTGTGTTCCTCCTGACTCAACATTCCAAGTAGGTGGCATTACAGGCCTGTGTCACTATACCCAGCTTCTGGTAGACTTGTTTTTGTCACTCTCTCAGTTGGACTGGCTCACACTCACTTAATCACCTTTATCATTTAAAGCAACCAGGGTAAAATGACCTCCCAAAGTTCACACAATAATCAACAATAGAAAAGAATATCAAAATGCTTAGTCCATCAACATCTGATTTGTTTCATAGCCCACAGAAACTCCCTGTGTCATTTGTCTCAAATTATTTTAAATTCTTCAGTAGAGTTTGTCCTTAGAAAAATGTTGTCTTCACAACATACCATTTTTTTGCTGAAAGGAAGTATGAATTAATTTCTTTCTAGTTCTGTATATGGTCCTATTTTCATTCATATTAAATGCATTCTATAAATCCTACAGTTTTTTTTTTGATTGCTTACAGTAATATACTGGGAAGGAAAAGAAATGA